CAGATCACTTGTTTTTTTTTCCTTGTGAGAAGCTGTGATGCATCAGAGAAATGCTACAGTAACAGAGTATTAAAGAAGTGCTATAACAGTGTAACACCTCCCCCCCTCCCCCTACCATCCTTCTCTCTCTCTCTCTTTTCCTCTCTTTATATCACTCCACCTCCTTCGCTTCCCCTCCTAACTTTTATCCTCTCTAATTTACAGTCTGGTGAAGTTCAGCTGCTCATGGTGGGAGGCGTCACCTCAGAGAGATTATGACTCACTAGAGTTCAAGCTGTAGGGCTATAAAATATTCATTGTTAGGAGAGGTTAGGGAGTCTGTCATTTTCAATTCAACCCTAAAATCAACTTAATATTTTTTTCTACTCTTCCACTATCTACCATTTCCAACTTAAAGAAATAAGTGGACGTTTAGAGAAAATGTGTGAGAAAGTTATCGAGGGTTGGATGAAAATATCTCATGTCTCTACAGTGAATATGAAGGTGACGCCAGCAGCTAGTTAGCTTAGCTTAGCATAGTGACTGGAAAAAGGGTAGACTGGTTCTGTTCAAAGGTAACATTGTCTCTCAAGCTCATTAATTAACTTGTTTTATTTCACTTGTTGGAGTTGTACAAACACCAAAGTGTAAAACTGTTACCAGCCAAGAAATAGTCCAACACATAATCCCGGTAAAATAACAAATTGTCATTTTCTACACTTCTTTTAAGAATTAAACTAAAAAGATAGATAATTAGTGAGTTTAGAGATACTGGAAGGTAGACATGCCAACACAGCTGTTTCCCCTTGCTACCAGTCTTTACACTAAGCTAAACTAACTGGTTGCTAGTAGTAGATTAGTATTTTATGTGCAGACATGAGAGTGGTATTGATTTTCTCATCTAACTCTTTGCCAAAAAGCAAATAAGCGTAGCGTGTTTGTCAAAATGTCAAACTATTCCTTTAACCCACACAAAGACAAGCAAACACTGCAAAACAGACTTTTATTCCGTGTCCATTATTAAGCACATAATATTATTTGAAAGGTCACCTGTGGAGTGAGTTCCTTCTGACCCTAGGCTGATCTTGCCAGCCCGCTCATGTGACACCATCCGAGCCAGTCGCAGCCCTTCATCCATTAGCGTTTGCTGTATGAGATGGCGACTCCAGTTGGTGGGGTTGGAGGTATCAGAGTGAGGACGGGGGGATGGAGACTGGTTGCACTGGGAGCCGATGTCTAACAGGACACACAGATCTGGGTGTGAATGCTGTCTTCAAACATGACATTTTTATAGAAGAAGAAAGAATGTCTGGAGTAGAGATGATCTAAGGAGGAGCAGCGCTTATTTTAATGACATATATCTGAGGTTTTTACCATGTGATACACTGTCGAGGCTTTCTGCTGATAAGCTGTCGTCGTCCGCCCTCTGGGTCAAGCCCTCTGAGCCCTCCACTCCAAGAAGTGACGACACACTCTCAGGCACAATTACCTAAAACACATCGCTGTCAGTTCAGTCCTGATGGACCACTTCAAGCAGCTGACAAGTGCCCTGAGCTTAGGCTGTGTTTACACAAAGTGCCGCGTTAGAATCACTCCTGAGTCTATCGAGCTTTATTAACTGGTGGAAGTGCTGCTCTGAAGACTCACCTCGTGTCTCGCTCTCTTCTGAGACAGCACACTGTTCTCATCTACGTTTGTCCTGCAGGAATAAAACAATCAAGCCATTTGAATGTGGAAAGCTAACTTTTGGTCCCAGAAACATTATTTCTATTCTCTGAGGAAGACTGAAATGTGGATGAAATCTTCAGAGAAAGAGAGAAAATGGACCTTGATTATTATTTTTTTTTGCCCAAATAAAGACACTGTTATTTCACAACAGACAAAACACTGAACACAGTTTTAATTCAACTTGTGAAATGGCCTGCAAGAACTATGATTTAGCAATAAAACTATGTATCTGCTATAATTCTATATACAGTATGCAAATTAAAGGGTGGATACTCAAATGATGGGACCCGACGGAGCCTGAGGGTTCGGGTCAGGCTTGGCCACATAGATCAAACTTTAGACTAAACGGGTGTAATTGTACTTGCAAATATTTCATTTGTAAATGAATCCATGCTTCTTCTTTAGTCTAATTTAATGTGCTAGACTTTGTATTAAAAATTTAAATGGTTAAGTGCATGACAATGCTATCCACAGTATCAGACACATTAGGGCCACAGAAAAACACCACACAAACTCAACTGCGTCAGGCTTGGACAGAAATATGTGGGCCGATCCATACTCTTATGCAAATACATATTTGGGGTAAGGGTGATATTTCAATGCCATGTGATAATGAGCACAAAGTGACCTTGTGTCTCAGTCTTCATGTCTGTTCTTATCATGTTTATAGTAGGAATTTTTTTGCTGCTCTTGGTGCTAAAAATCTGCTAATGGTTATAAAAGTACATGAAAATGTTTTGTGCACATTAACAGACACACAGGATGTTTGTGCATTCCTGTGTAGCTCTAAGGTTAGCTCATTAAACAAACACTACCGAGGTTGGAGTTTAATTCCCACTCCGATCTGAACCCAGTTCATTCTGACAATGAATGCACTGGTGGGAAGGTGACTCATACAAACCACCTGGTGAATGTAGAATATGTTTAATTCAATACGTGTTTTTTTTAGCTAAGAAATTAATTCAGATTTATTCACATGTGGCTTATTATAACATGATGCTTTTCTGCCTCGCACACATATTATGGAGGGTCCAGACTTGGCATTTTTCTACAGTAATGAACCTTTACAACTATATTCCTGATTCTCTAGCTGATTTCATTCTCAAGGCTGAGAAGCCATCAACACAATGTGTGTCAGGTGAGGAGATCATTTGCTGCTGGTGAACAGATCAATCTCCTCTACAGGTGGAGCTCTTACCTGGCATGTTTTAGTGTGGAAGTGTAGGCACATTTTCTTGCCACCTGCCGAGCCAAAGAAAACAGCTCCACCCGTCTCAGCAGAAGGGCATTGTCGCGCATACAGAACTGAGCCGCAGCTTCATTGATGATCAGCTGAGGAGGAAAAGCACGGAGTGAAGGAGAGATGGACACTGTGAAAGTGACATCAGGACAAGAAACCGCTCATCTTTGGTTGTGTATTTATTTGTGTTTAAAGCCGCCATTACTATGATAACTTTTCTTTACTGACAGGTCCTTGTAGGTTTGAAACATGAAGTGATGTATTTAAATGCTTCATCTCAGCTCTTTCTCTGATGTCTTTACCTCATGATGTGTGAGCTGCTTGCCTTCTCTCCTCTTGGAGTCAAAGCGTCCATAAATGAGACTGTATTTTCGGATCTCCTCTTCCTTGTTTACATCCTGGGAACCCATTTTGAAGATGTGCCCCACTGTCTTTGCCATCTTCTTGTTCATCCTCAGCAGAGTCTTCACCTCTGCCGGATCTGACCGGGGTAGGGTCCTGAGGAGCCGCTCCACGCACTCCACCACCGCCCTCGCCGTCTCTCCGTCCAGCTGTCCCCCAGGCCAGGCTGACAGAGCTCCTGGGCCAAAAGAAGCAGAGGAGCTGGGAGATGTGGAGGGACCAGGAGGACATGTTGACAGCAGAGGTGGGCTGGGTGGCTCCTCCTCTATTCCAGATGTAGAGGCCAAAGTGCAGTTCCCATCTGGCTCTGGGCTGAGCCAGTGTGGGTCCATGGGTGACAGTTTTTCTCTGTAGTGTGTGTCAGGTGGCTGTGGGGAGGCCTGGGAGCAGGGGCTTCTTGGACTCCCACTGTGCATTGGAGTAAGACACGCCCGATCCTCTCTTTCACACGGCGACCCTGGCTGCCCATTGCTCAGAGACTTCCTGGGCCCGCCTGCTGACCCACTTGTGCCTGTCCCATCAACTTTGAACAGTGGAATGCCCCCGAGAGGAACATTAGAAACGGGCTGGCTGAAAAGGGCAGGGTTCGCCGCCCAGTCTCGGAGGGCCTTTTGCAGCCTACGCACATGCAGTGGCTTGGTGGCCATGCCAACTAGTGCCATGATCTCCAGAAACTCCTCCTCCGCTGCCTCACAGAGCTGCTGCACGTCGTCACCACCCTGCTGGATGAAGGTTTCATAATAGGCCAGCAGGTTGGCCCTCTGCAGCACCCGATAGAGCTGCAACTCCCCAAGTGTGCGTGGCAGAGACATGGCACACAACACTGGAAAGTTTAGGCAGGAGAAAAGAAAGGCATAATCCTGCAGGTAGAGAAATCCTGTACGAGTTATTTCTTTAGAAAAAGACTTTGTCATCTGGACTATACACAGTAGGCCTATTTCAGTTTCCAAACCCCTCTACCCAGATGAAATATTAATAACAACAGATGCATATTGGAAGTTTAAGCATACTTTGGAGCTGAATAGGACTCTCTATATAAGAACAGTTTCTTCCCTTTTCTACCCTTTCAACGACTAAATGCTTGAGTTTACATAAACCTCTCTTACCTTCTTCAGCTCAGGTAGACGGATGTACGGAGAGGAGACCGGCGTAATTACGCAAAGTGTCTCTCTAGCCACTGATGTCAGGTCGGTACTCCCGGATTGAAACTGATAAATGAAAACATATGAAAACTAATGTCGATTGATCGATTAGAGGAAATGACTTTACATTTAGACTAAAGTATAAAACTCTTTCATTATTGACTCCAGTTCAGATAAAACCGTCGAATAAAGGCAAATATTTCGGAGCTAAATCTTAGCAGAAAACATGCTCTTATTATCCTATTCGTCTCTTACCCTTGTTGCCTATTACTGAAAGCGTCCCCGGCGCAGATTGGCGTAGTAAATCCCCTTTGCGTATCGTACTTCGTCTGAAATCACTGGCAGAAATCCTCCTCCGGCGCACCGTATTGGTTGCTGGCTGCCTTTTTGCTGTCTGTGTGGGCTGGAGAATGACGGGGGCGGACTGCAGCACGCCATCTGACCGAAAAAGAGCCTTCCTCTCCCGGTAGAGAGGCGGCTTTCAAATTGGAGATGTGGGTGGTGGCGGCGGGGGCTTGAAATTAACCCTCTGTGTCTTCAAGATTTGTCTATCATGCAGAAGCTTTGGGGGTTCCCAGAGTTTTGCCATGTCAAAGACCTCTAAACGAGTCGTCAGCCCTAGCACTGGGTCTATAGTCTTATAGCCTGCTGAGAACAATGAACAGATGTGACACGTGGATTTTACCGAACAGTCTATTTTAAGTAGGAGGTTGGTGGTCGTAAATTATACTGAGTACAGGTGAAACTCCAGTACTTTTATAATGCTGACATTAGGCTATTTGGGTGCAAAGTTAAAGAGCCAGTTCACACAAATAAGCTCCTAGAATCACCCGAACTATCAGTGAATTCCACGCGTTGCTGGAACATAAAGCTCATCCAAATTGCGTTGTTTTCACTGTGAAACACTGTTTCGTGTACATACACTGTTTAATGCGTCTTTAATTGAAATATGGTAGGTTAAATTCTTCAGTGGACAAGACTCATTACATATCTGTTTTACACTTATGCCATATATCTTACAAACCACACTACACACAGAGTGAATATAGCACACTTTGCCAGCTCCGGTATCAAAAACAAAACACTATACATATCATTTTAAACACAAAGTACATATTGCATATAGTAGGTTATAGACTACTTTGTATTTTATTATGGTTTAAGGAAGGGTTGCATTTTTACACACATTCAAAACTATTCTCATTTGGAACGAATTGGTTGATTGGTTAGTTGATTGATCTCAGGGTTATGTTGCAGGATCTAGGGAGTAGGTAAGTGGGGAGTCCCATTACTGTAATTGTCTGGAGAAACTGTTATCATCTGTGCCATAAGAAAAAGGGTTAGGTAGATGTGAAATGTATACTTTACGCAGCTACACTATACACTACACAGCTTGTTTGGGTGTGGGGACTTGCCCGGCAGGTAAGGTCTAACTAAAATACACTACTCCCCTCTGTGTTTGTATCTTGACTCATACTAAGAACAATCTTCTCAACCTTAAGCACTTTGTTTGACAGTCATTTTAAAAATTTCTCCTTTGTGACTCCCAGTTTTATGGATGTGTAATACAAAATAACTGGAATGATCTTTTAAGATTTCCTTTATGGAACTAAGGGGCCTAACTCAAATTATGTAGATGAGGGTGTACATATAGGTGGTGAACATTATTGTGGCTCACTGGATGACCACAGACAAGAAAAGCCCACAAAGACAGGACAAATGACAACAAAGATATGCACAATGACCACAGAACATGGGTGTCTTGCTCTTATTTAGAAGGGATCATAGAAGGCACGCTCTGCTGTGCCCGAGGTGCAGTTTTTGTGTCTGTGTCTGAGTGTGAGCTGGGTGGAGTGGGTCTCTGATTATGTTCTCTGCTCTTTTGCGACTGTGCTGTGTGTATATTGTGTCCATAGAAGGCTGTTCAGTCCTAATGATCCATTATGCAGTCTTTATGACTCCTTGAGGAGCTTTCCTCATTGCCTGTGTGGTGTTACCATACCAAACTGTGATGCCAGTGGTGAGGACGCTCTCTGCCAGTCCTCTATAAGCCTAAGTGAGGGGGTGACGGTTCAGACCAGCTTTCCTGATGAAGTATAGCCGCTGCTGGACTTTCTTCACTTTGGCAGCTGTGTTCAGTGACCAGCTCAGGTCAGGTTTCACCTGCAAGCCCAGGAACTTGTCCACCTCAGTTCCTTTGATGGTCAGAGGCAGCAGAGGGGAGGGGTTCTTCCTGAAGTCTACTATTATTTCTTTTGTCTTCCTGAGGCTGAGGTCCTTCTCCTCTCCATAAACAACACATAAATGTTGTGCACCAAGCTTCTGTACCCCCCCCCTCGGAGAGGCCCAGGATGGTGGTGTCATCAGCATATTTAATGATGGTGGCACTAATGTGCATTAGCTATTTAGTGGGTTAGCTTGAAATAGGAAAATAAACTGCTGGGGGTGGTTTCACTGGATATATTAAGCGGAATCTAAAAATACTATAAACAGTATTTGAAAGGTGGTTGTTAATTATCAGCTGCACCTCTAAAACAATAGGTGGCAGTAGTGCCCCTATGTTGTTTTCTCACAGAAGAAGAATACGGAGAGGGAAAACGAAAGCAGCAGCAGAAGAAGTCGCTAAAAAAAACAAAACAAAAAAAACAACACGGACACTTGGTTGTCTGTTAACAAACAAGGTTACAGTTATCTGAGAGGTATATATGACCTGTAGTTTGTTTGAATGTAGAACTGCAAAGTAATTTGATTAGTTATTGGACTCGTCCGGTGTTCAAAACGTGCTTTAACTTACTCGTCAAACCCCATAGGAAGGGGAAACAGGCGTTAATATTAGCTAGTCCCGCTCGTTATACTTTGAATAGCTAACAGTTAGCAAAGTGGTCGGTTGGTTGTTTGCTAGCTAAACGCGTTGACAGCTAGTTACTGTGCTGTCGTTTTATTTTCCTTTGAGACCATATTTAGAGGAAATAAAAGACAGGTTAGCCAGTGAGATGGAAGCTAATTTTAGCCCCTGTACTGACTGTCTGTCATCCTGCTTACTGGCTGCTTCCTCATGCTAACAGGCTGTTTGCTAACATTAGCCACCCTTTAAAACAGATGTTTTTGTTAGAGTTAAATTAATAGTTGTCAGACACCCAGTCTACCAGACAGGACTGACAGTTTTAAATGACTGTTTCCCCCTTTTTATCGTTTCTAAAAGGTCAAACGTTTATTACTCCAGCTCGTTTAAGATCCCCTGTGTTCCTCTTTGACTAACTAAACTAACTGGCAAACAGCAAATTAGTGTAATTGAATGTAACCTGTGATGCGCTGTTAACACATGTACGTGTTAAAGTAAATCTGAATGTAAGTTATGTAACTACGTGTCTTGTAAATTTGTCATTGATGTATTACATTACGTATTGGTCCCTATTCGGGAACAACTCCTTCAAAACCAAAGTGCCAGTTTCATATGTGAGGAAAGGTCTTCATGTTGCACAGTCCTGGTAAATTGAATTTAATTGTGATAGTGACAACACTTTACTGTAATATAAAGCCTCAAAGTTAATTTTTTTCTGGCCTCCCCAAATTTTGCTTTTATTTATTATAAATTTTAAATACATAATTTATTTCTTGATGGCATATTTTTAAGAACTTTGAATTGTTAAGTCTAAACAGTTTCTCATTGGAGCTTTAACACATACTTTTAACACTGAATATTATATTAGTTTTTGATTTAATATCTATAAAATGTTAGAAATGTCCCAGGTCCCAGGGTAAAGCTGTCAAATGCTCAAACATTTTGTCTTATTATCTGTCCAAAACCCAAAAATGGTGTAAAATGGAGAAGTCCTCATATTTTAAAAAATGTCTTGGCGAATGTTTGACATTTTTGCTTTGTAGTTACCTTAAACTATTAATCTATAATTAAAATATTTGTTGAATAATCTTCTGTAAATCAACTTTGGCTGCATGGTTTATGTAACTTTATACTGTGATGCTGATAATTGCAATTCTGTTGTCAGGATGCCCATCTCTGCTGCTCTTAGTTGTGTTTGTTTTTGTTTTGTTTTTTGGAAGGTGTAAAATGGCGTACTGTAAAATAAACAAATGCTAACCTATATTCTAATCTGTTGCTTTCCAGAAACCAACCTAGTGCATGATGTGAGTTGCGAGGCCTTTTGATGCTGCAAATGGCTGCTGATATGGTGGACCTGAACTTGACCCTCAGGAGCCCCCAGTCTCATCTTTTTGAGTCTGGGGAAAATGTTGCCACAGAATATGAATATATGGTATCATCTTCTATGAGTTACCACTTTCACAGTGCTTTAGTCAAACAGCTGTAAGGAACATGGAGAAGGAAGCAGCTGAGAAGAAGATGGATGGCGTTGACTCTGACGTGGAGTTCCCTGATAGTGATTCCAAATCTAGTCAGGGGGAGGTCAGGGAGTCTGATGATGACTGCGAGCAGGAGGACAAAACAGCCTATCTCAAATCTCAGGGCACCTCAAACCCATCCACTCCACAAGACTCTGGAATTGGCAAGGCAGAGTATTGTGGATCTACAAAGGCCAAAGAGGAGGGCGAGGAGTCTTCAGATGGGCTTGAGCATGGCGGCACAGCAGATCATGAGAACTCGCAGGTTATAAATCAAGAAGAAGACGAAGCTGCAAAGGAGCAACACATGAATGGAGAGTCTGGTTGGAGAAATGTGGGAAGTGGAAAGAGGTGCAAACTGAGGAGCAGCAGTTCTGTGTCAGAGCAGGGCAGTCAAAGTGCTTTTGCCTCCATTCAAAAAGGCAGTCTTATGTCTAGTGGTGGCAGGCACAAGCAGACCCGCAGACGTAGCAACCACCACCACCATCAGAACCGGGGCCGTAGGCGCACAGGCAAACAGCTGGTCTTAGCTGTCAAGGAGATGATGTCAGAGTCTCTCAGCTTCTGGTGCATCTCCTGTGTCCACATGATGATTGAGATTATTGTCACTTTAACTCACAATTGTGGAGTCGGTGTAGAGACTGGAGGCATGAAGATTTACAACTTTGTGCAGCAGCTCCTTGCAAAGATTACAGATATACAAGGGATGAAGGCGGATGCTAGTCGGATTCTGAAGGGGACTAGATGCACTGCAGCAGACCTGGTTGATAAAGTTGTTAGGTCAGTGAAGTGGGTAAAGACAGCTGCCTTATCTTGTTTCAGACTTTTTTGTGCTTTGGTTATTCTTGGGTCCCAGTGGGCAGTTGGTGCACTGGTCCGACTTGGTGGAGAGAGGGGAAAACGCTATGGGACAGCTTTTCAGGAGTCAAGGATTTGGAAGAGCATGGTGTCCCTGTTGGAAAGGGGCCGAAGCTGGTTCAGGAGAGATGGCCATGTGCCACTGTCCACACCTGAGTCGCCCAGCAGAATGGGAAGGGGGCAGCCGGGCCAGGAGCTGGAGAGACTGCTGGCTTTGGCTGAGGTACCAGAGGACGAGCTTGACCCCTTTACAGTGCTCGGTGTGGAGGTGCATGCCACTGAGGCTGAGCTGAAAAAGGCCTACAGACAGCTGGCTGTCCAGGTGTGTGTGTGTGTGAGAAGTGCCTGCGATAATGACTAATAAACTATGTCTGAGGCTGTGAGTTTTTCCTCCCTTACTCATCCAACCTTTTCCTCTCATTTCTCTTTCAGGTCCATCCAGACAAGAATAAACACCCACGAGCTGGAGAGGCATTCAAAGTACTGAGGGCTGCCTGGGATATTGTCAGTAACCCAGAAACACGAAGAGAGTATGAGTTGTAAGTACACAGGAAAAAGTGGTTATCAAACTATCTTCAGAAACATTTAATACATTTATTAGCCTGTTTTTTTTAATCTTTTGTCCACTACATTAATACAGTTCTCATAACCATTTTCTGCTTTTGGAAAGTTGTAATATTGATTTGTTAGAATTTAATATTAAATGTTTTTTACCATCAGTGGACACTGACCTTAATTTATTTGCAGTGGTCTTTGGTTGTTTCCTGCACTTTCAATTTATGCACAACATGATAGTTCATAAAACATCCTTAGGCCTGTAATATGGTAACATAACACCAACCAGTCTGTTTGGTACCCACAAAGGAAGCGCATGGCAGCAACTGAGCTCTCAAAGTCCATGAACGAGTTTCTCACAAAACTGCAGGACGACCTGAAGGAAGCCATGAACACCATGATGTGCACCAAGTGTGAAGGCAAACACAAGTATGTTGCCACACACCCAACATCATCACACAGCTGTGGGAATGTTAAACATTGTGTATTACACACTGCTGATTCATGCCTTGTGCAGTAGTCTTGGACCACAGTCTTGATTTTGTTGTGACCCTGTGTGTGCAGGCGGTTTGAGATGGATCGTGACCCTGCTGAGGCACGCTTCTGTGCTGAATGCAACCGTTGCCATAGTGCTGAGGAGGGGGACCTGTGGGCTGAGTCCAGCATGTTGGGCCTGCGCATCACATACTTTGCCTGTATGGATGGCAAGGTCTATGATATTACAGGTGACCATCAGGTTTTTATTGAAAGATTATCTGTCCTGCCCACCAGCAGCTCACTAGTAATACATGCTGTAGTTTGATTAAGGAAGCAGATGCTACCAGTACCTGTTACCCTGGATATCTGCACAGGTGAAAGCAAAGTTCTTGGTTACACTTCTGATCTCTGTGAGCTGTGGCAATGCTGTTGTCTTTCAGAGTGGGCAGGGTGCCAAAGAATAGGCATTTCTCCTGACACACACCGTGTGCCCTATCACATCTCCTTTGGTTCAAAGAACAGTGGCAACGCCACGCGACACAGGTACGGCCCCTCTGGTGTTTAAACTGAGACACTAGCAGCGCAACTGTTATCATTCTTTTCTTCATATACAGGTCGTTGTGGCTCCATGGTGCTCAAGCATATATTACCTTGATCTCTTCCTCGTCACCTACACCTGCATTTTGCCTTAGATGTGTCTATAATCTTATTTTGGTGAATAATTTTGGAGACTTCTTCTGCAACATCTGGCATTGCTGTTTGAAAATATGAAGCAAACAGTGCAGTGAGAATAAACATTTTGAGGCAAATATTGAGAAAAACGTTTAATAAAATGTAGTTTTTCAAAAAAAGATGTAGAAGTATGTAAAGATGTAAATATATGCAACTGTTCTTTGTGTTGTGGTCTCTGCTGACAAAATATCTCCTCCTACTGCAATACATAAATGTATATTTTTACCAGCATCCTGCTGTGGTGTGTAGTGCAGGAGGGACTCCTTTTTGTGTTGTGCGATTTTGTGATGATGATACTGACAAATAAATAAATAAACCTACACTGTTCACACTAAACACTATCATCTTGCCCCTAATGTCTTAACTGGGCTTAATTTATTGTGTTCATATCCTGTTACAGCTTGACCACCTATAAAAGTAAAAACCATTAAACTTGCGTGCCCAGTGTAAAAAAAAACAACCTCTGACCTTTCCAACCTTTCCTCTTAGGGCACCCTCGGAGCACGCCACAGGTCCGACCAACCCTGCTGATCTGCAGGACTTCTTCAACCGCATCTTCAAAGGAGGGCCTCCTAATGACATGGCTGCCAATGGGGGCTTCTTCCCCTCAGGTCCGCTGTATCATCACCCATCTGGTGATGGCGCACCCCCATTCTCCCCTCCCCCAGGCCAGACAGGTTTCTACATGCCGGGAGGTCACCGGCCAGAGTCCAGCGAGACGTGGGCTGAAAGTGGCAGACCGCCCAGGAGGAGGAAGAAGGTACGGAAGCCCTTCCAGAGGTGAAGTCTGCTGTCTTCTCAGTGTATCGACACAGGGACACAATAAATAACAGCCATGTTTATCTCTGGCCTGTCTCTCGGTCTGCCAAGATCTGAGCTGGAGAGGGGTCATGTGGGTATGGCTGCAGTCAGATCATCCAGAGGGGAGAGAAAGAGACATGTAGACGAGTATAGAAGGAGAGAGGAAGAGGTGGCAGTGATGGTGCTTTACCTCTCATTTTACCTTATTTTGTGTTGGTCTTTAAGACGACTGTAGCCTTGGCATCGAAATTGTTACCGGGATGCTGTAATGAAACATGTTCCTTCATTAATTTCCTGCCAACTCCAACAATGCATGATTTTTTTCACCTGAATTTTGACACTTAAGTTGTCTTATTTTGTTGTTAGTGTTTTGTTTAAGCACTTCAGACAGTTGAAAACAGTCGCGGTCAGTGACTGTGAACTGCTGATCGCTATAATTGACATGGCAAAAAAAAAAAGAATTGGGCAGCTTCACTGTCAGTGTTACATCAGTGGCATGTGGATCTACATCTAGGTCTGCACCCCACCCACCATACCCCAGGAATGAATCCAAAGCAGCCAAACCCAACACATCGGAAGTAAATTTACAAAAACAGCAGCAAATCTAGCCTGTGTGCAAGTTCCACATTTGTGTTGGTGATCCGACCTGATAGGGGCCAGTTTTTAACAGTTGAATCAGGGCATTGTGTGGCTCTGTGTTGGTAGGCATACAGATGGCAAGAGCCGGTATGCATGGCTTGTCACATGCAGGCACCCCCCTGCATTAGAGATCCACTGCGGTGTTTCAAAACTTTAAAGATGTCCCCTTGACATTTTGAAATGATATATTTGTAACGGTTAAAAAGATGACATAGATTTATACTGCCCCCTGTTGATCCCCTGTGTAACTACACCGCTGACATCTGACATTTGAATTAGGCCCTGTCAAAACATGTCAGTCACAAGGTACAACAGCTGACGACCAAATTTACTGATGTCATTTGAAATCAGAAACTGTGCTGATTTGTAAGTATTGACCCAAACCTGACCTATATTCAAACTTGCAATGTTTTTGTTTCAGATCAAAATCTACTATATTTTGATCACTGCAAGTTTCACAATAAACTGAAAAGTCAGCAGTTTAAAATGTTTCCTGCTCCATAGGTTTACCTGTTGCCAGAATTTTGATATCATCCTTTCCCCTTGTGAAGTGCAGTTTTATGTCTGCTATGATGTTTTCAGTGTACATTAAACAAAGACATTTACATCAGTGATCTTCATCACTCAGAAAAATAGACATCCACAATCATTCAAACCCAGATAGAGAATAGCTGAGGCTTGTTTCCATCCATCTGTCACCTGACCATAAATATTCTGACTTGTAAATTGTGCAGTGACATGTCAGCTAGTGAACGCAGGTTATCAGCCGGATGTGGTTCAGCTTTCAAAATGTCAAGGTCACAGATTTACAGAGAATCTAATCTAAATCCAAACATCTGATTTACTTTTAATCTCACCAGTGTCACTGTATGTAACAACACGATGGGGCCACGTAACCAACGGTTAGTTGTAGTTTGGTTTCTAAAATGATACATTTTAATTTTCATCACAAGTTCATTTATAAAAATCTGATATGTGAAGCCTAAAGCTGTAGTAAATTGAAATGGGGGTATTTTTTTATACTAACAGATGATGATTTTTTTTATTTTTTTGTTGCTTGTTTTAATTTGCACACCCACCCCTGTAATAAGATCAGAGGGTTTCTGAACAGTCATCTGTGATTTAGCCCAACCAGACTCCTCCAGCTGCAGCTGAGTAGGAGGTGTAAGCTCACTAAGCTAACAGCTCATTTGAAAATTAATATTTTTTTATTTTTATTTTTTTAGAATCTGAATATTAAATGAATGACACATTTTTGAGTTGCACAAGCATCACACTCCAGTCAGCACTCTGGAAGGACCTGAGTATCAGGACTTACGGCCTTGTCGTGCATAATGTGGGTTTGTGTAGTGGCTTTAACAGATGAACCTTTGTTGCACTTACTGTTTGAGGTGATTGAAGCAAGACATGTTTCTCTTCATGTTTCAAATAGTTTTCCTCATATATTTGAACAGTTTCCCAGACAAGGATGGAAGTGTGGTACACTAAAATAAACTCAAAGCATTTTTCACAGATTAAGAACAGAAACAGTCCTTGGATTAGTGTATTCTGATAAAAAGAAAGGAAGAAAGATGAGCCAAAACTATTTTTTAAAGAGTTTTTACATCAAGGTATACTGTCAAACCTCTGTTTGGGAAACTACCCACATCACACACACACGTTTTCCTCAGTGTTATCACTTGAGAATGTGCAGTGTTGTGTGTTAAAGGTTGCAGTTTAAGACAAAACAAAAGAGCCAACACTGCAGTTTTTCCCCTTTTCATGTTTTTAACAGAATATGCATAAGTATTGCAAAAAATATCTGACAATCATCAGGGTTTTTTTGTAGGGATTATGAGGCGAGTTCCCTGGCTGGCAAACAGTTACTTACCACTGTTGGGTTGCTTTCTCCTGCTTTATCTGGGTTTCAGAATAAAGATGATTTCCTATCTGCACAAAGTTTGTTCTATGCTCATTACACTTAACAAGTAATTCATCAGATAAAATCCATAATAAAATTACAACATTTAAATGATACATGGTGACAAAGTGAGGTTACGCATAACAAACATTGCTCGCTCAGGGCTCCCATCCTTCAAACTGTCCTGAGACTTCATTTTACTGGACACCCACACTGAAAAATGCTCTGTGCCACTGTTGTAGCTCATATGGTTTTTCCATTCTCTGACCTTGTTAACTAATGGAGCTATGGCCATGGTAAAAGAGGGCAGGGCATGAACATCCATCTGCTCCTTACAAGGATCTGTTTCTGAGAGGTGCAGTTTCCTGCTCACAGCCCGATTTGAGGCTTTTGTAGCCTTTTACAGGTTAAATAGGGTGGAAAAAATGTACTTTTCACAACTGCAGGTTAGGCACCTTTAAATCCAAGAAAATTCCTTCACATCACTCAGGAACAGTACGGTGATGCCACATACCTGTAATCAGCTGTGTGGCAGTGAGCACTCAAGCTCATCCTAACTCAGAGAACTTCTCATTATGCGACGTGCAGACAAACTATTACAAAGTTTAGCAGTGTTTCATACATGCTTATTTAGCCTGGACTAAACAATTCAGAGATAATGCTTATATTGTCATAGCTGCTAGGAGAAAGTGGCCAGATTGAACTGAACCTCAGTCTCAACAGCCCAACCAGCATCAGAGCACTCATTTGTTTCTTGTTCCCAAATTAACTCGACTCATTCCAGTTTTGTTCTGTTGAATGTTTCCCCTCTGGTCAAACTGGTGCTGACCTCCAGTCTGGGAACCTCTGATAAAGACTAAAGAGTATTTGCAAATATTATCTGACCCAGACCTGAAGTTTACTTTGTAAAATATACTGTACACTTGGATATATATCTGGTTAAAACATAAGACAGGATTATTCATCATTAAAATATTTTCCTCCTGTGCCTCCAACTTTATTCTTCCAATATAGAAAACGTGAATATGATCATATATGCAGTAACTGCTTGTGTGCTGATGACATCTTTTCACTACAGCTTGCCTCTCAGAGCTGTGATGATGCTGTGGAGCTGGGAACAGTCTCGATAAGCCACCAGGCCCCCGTGGTTAGCCCAGCGGTCAGCTCCTTTACACTCAGTGTGAGGCTGGTGATAGGTCAGTTCTGTCTGGTGATCCTGTGCTCCACAGCTGGAGTGTAAAGTCTCAGTCAGGTCCACCACCCCACCTCCAAGAGCTCGGAGCAAGGCGTGAGGGGCGCAGGAGTCCCACTTAAAGGTGCTCCCCTCTGAGAGGATGTAGATGTCTGCCAGGCCCTGAATGACACACAGGATCTTGTAGCCAGCTCCTGAGGCGTACATCAACTTGTCGGGGCCGCACAGAGAGGTCAGGGCTTCCTTCACCACCTGCTTCTCGCTGGAGCTCAGCACCACGGCGAGACCTTGGCCCCTTTCAGGCTTGTTGCTGGGCCGGGACAGGGAGCAGATATTGATGTCGCCACAGGACACACCCCAGAAGTGCTTCCCCCTCCAGCTGTGAGTGCAAACAGCAGTGGAGTGTTGAGAGTATTTTACTTACACAGTATGTGTATGCTACACACACACACACACACACACACATATATAGTGTATACTGTACAGTATTGTATAATATATAATAATACTAGTAGGACAGTGTGGGAGGGTAGAAAGGTACTTATGCTGTGTAATGTCTTCCACTATTTCATGGCACCATGACAACCAGTGTGGCTCAACAACGACTGAGACATCTTAATAAATGCAAGCAAACAGAGTATATTTAATTGTACTAGTGGTTTGGCCTTTGTTTTGTCCCGTGTAGTGGTGTCTCTGAAATTACTGACACGCATTCTAGGAGAGCTTTGGTTTAGTGTGCCATCCCTCAGTTACAGGCCTAGGCTGGGATCCTCCCAAAATTCTCTGAGCTCCTCTTCTCTGCCCCCCTCCTATCGCCTCTCCATTAGATTTTTATATGCCGCCTTTACCTGCTGTTAAATTTGTGTCTCCTCTCTCCCATAGTGTGTCTGCTCTCTCTGTCCCCTGTACCTCTCTGCAGGTATCCATGGCTCCTGAGTTCTACCTTTCTGATGAGTCGTCACTGGTCACATTAACCTGCTCACTGTTGGTTTGTTTGTTTGTTTGTTGTTTTGCCCATCAAGGGTTCCTCTGTTAAAGGGAGTTTTTCCTCTTTGCTGTCACCAAGTGCTTACTCAAGGGGGCTTTGTTGGGTTTTCCTAAAGTGCCCTGAGAAAACTGTTACTGTGAATTGGTGCTGTACAAATAAAACTGAATTGAACTTCAAGGGTGATACAAAGGAAGACAAAGACGCCCTCACAATGCAGACTCCTGCCAAAGATTCACTCCAACATCAACATGAAGACTGACTGTTACCTCATCATCTAACCCCCCGAGAGCGTGACAACTGACCTGACAGGTAAGGTGTGTGTGGTCATACTCAGTGTTTCTCCAGACTTTGAATGTCAAAACAAAACCTGAGCTTGCAAGGTGAGTTGTAACCATCCTTCTTAAAGTTCAACATTTCAGATAAATGACACAAGCTAGCCAATCCACAGATTTAGTTAGCCCGTTGTTGTTCAGTGTTACCACAAAGATTAAAGAGTTCAAGAATTTACCGTCCACTGACAATTCCTGATAACAACAAGTCCTAATGAGTTAATTAAGGCCTGCCGGCTTAATGAAGTGACCACACCTATTCCAAAACTACTGTACAAGCCACGGTTACAGTTTGTTCATCTCATGTCTTAATGTGTGTTAGCTGCAGGGGTTGTATCTGCTTCTCTTCACTTCAAAAATCAACTAAATATGAAACTTTTTTTTAACTTACCCTCCACCTGTGGGATCTTTGTAGTTGAATGGCTGATTGATAACACCCATGACAGGCCTGCCTGTGCTCCGGAGGTACACCCCAATCAGAACCAGAGCACAGTGCAGACCTGAGGGGCACAGGTGGCCCTCCTCCAGCACCTCCTCTCGGCCCTCTATGTACTGGCTGGTGGCATCTTAATTTAAAAATAGACAAACAGTTCTCACTAAGGTCTAAGATAAGCTGTTTCAGCTTCTAGATAAGTTTCCAGTTGAGTCTTTCACCTATGGGGTCGATCCAGATGCCAAGCTCTGAGGGGCTGAGCGGCACTGTCAGGCCTTCTGTGCTGGCGTCGATGGTAGCCGGGTTCTGGTGGATGGCTCGAGCCAGCAGAGCTGCTGCTATGTGGTCACCATCCAACACTGTGGCCAACAGCGCAGCAGTCTGCTGCTCTGTATCGCACACAGTGACTGTCACGTTCTCCCCTGGTGTCGCACAGAGACCGTGAGACTTCATTTGATTACTTCACCACATATTTGCACACTGCAATGACACTCGTATACTGATCATTAGGCCAAGTGTATTTTTAAGCCCTAACAGAGCTAAATATTAATTGACCTCCCCACTCGCACAAAGAGACCGTGAAACCAACCAGTGCACCTACACTGGCACAAGGCCTCACCCCAGTTTCTTCTGGGTGTCAATGTCAGCTAACTGAACTGAAGGTTTAAGTCACTTATAAGCAATAATGCCAAATAGTGTTCCAGCTTCTCAAATGTAAAGAACTGATGTTCTTCTTTGTTTAATGCGACAGGAAACTGAATACCTTATTTGCTGATGTTTTATACAGTATTTAAATAAGAAAATACTCAGCACTTCTAATGCTAATATCAACTACAGTAATTTAAAAACTTGGCAAACAAAAGAACCATTCTACAGGATTACTTAATAATACAGGACCTGCGTTTGTTCATATCACACTACAGTTGTACGAATTCTGCACCGAATGACAACTACAGCAGCGGGCCCCTGAGGGTCAGGGAGGCCCAGGAGCCTGTTTTTCCTGCTTCATACACCCTGGACACTGGCATGTACAGCATGTATCTTACATTCCTAGTAATATTCAAATGAAAATTTAAAGTTGATAAGCTGGAATGCCATTACCAAGCCCATTTTCAAACTTGTTGGACTCCTCTCCATGGATGAAGCCAGCCATTTCGGGGAACTGCACAAAAGAACAGATGGGACCTAGTTTTAAAACACGCAGTCAACTTTCAGTTTGTTTCCACAGTGCGTAACTGACACTGACTTATCCCACCTGGGCGCCAACATCATGTCGGATCATCTCCTGGATCACCACGTCCGCAAGTGTCTTGAAGTCCTGGACGAACTTCTTGTTCTTGTCATCTCCAGTCTTCTCCTGCACAAGAAGCTGAAAGAGCGGAGCCTCCTGCCTGCAGACCCGAGCCACGTTAGCTGCTTTCTCAGCCACCTGCAGCAGCAGCCTCAGCAGATCAGCCATGCCTGAACAGAGGACAGGAAGCAAGGGCTTAGTTAACAGACAGATGGAAACTTTGTGTGTGCGAAGAAGAGAGAAAGAGAAGCAGAGTGAGAGGGAGGAGGTAGGGCACACATACACACACTGAGCTAATTATAGCCTCAGAATGAAAACAGGGCTTTAAAAAAAAAAAAGACAAGAGCCTGAGGGAAGGATGTGGTTTTAGCTTTTTGCATATAAGCCTCCACATATCTCCGTTTCAGTCAAATGCCTGATGAATTTTGCAGCTCCTCCCAAAAAAACTAATACCAATTTCCAAATAATTATTTAAAGTATGCAAAACTTTATGACAAGAGACTGTATCATAGAGACATAAGGCAGAAAAACACCACTGAGGCCTGTAAAGTGATCACTGTGTGCCACATAGACACGGCTGAGTGCTGGTAGTATTGAAGAATATTGCAGTACCTATTTGTTCTTCTAGGGATGGAAAGTCACACCTCCATAAAACCTAATAGTGTCAGTTTAGTTGTTTTGACATGGAATTGAAGTCACCTTTACTCCAGCCAGCTGTGTTACGCTCATAACGTTCCAGTGAACAGGAATGACAGGGTTAGCGTAGCTTTAATAAGAGGGGAAAATACTACGATGGAATGACTGAAATCTTACCGGGCCCAGGTTACACACTGCCTATTTACCTCTCGTCTGCCCGTCTCGGTAACTTTTCCTCTCCGCCCAGTCGTCAGCCTACGCGGACAATTTATGGACTTACGTTTCAATAAATCAGTTGTATCGAAGCTCTTAATGGAACCCGTCTGCTCTGGTGTCTTTACGTCAGTGCGAGTTTCCTATAGAAAAGAAGGGCTGGGGCGGACGGTGCTCTAGGCCGACAGCCACAAGGTTCAGCCAGGAGCGTAACTGCAGCGAGCACGGTGCGTTTGTTTTACAAGGTAAAGACAATACGGAAACCGAGCTGCGGTGCGTTCAAGTGCAAATTCGAAATTCAAGGTTCCCGGTTTGAGATTTGTATGTCACACATTTATTTATTTAATGCTTTGAATAATGTATATACATTTTTACAAAGACCAAAACAAATTAACCATGTTATTAAAGTATGATTAATCTTAATACATTTTGAATTAAAGGTCAGTACAGTACATTCTTTTAATTAGTACTTTTTTTGCATCCCAGCAGTTTTCTTGCACATTTAAATTCATATCTTACACTTCAGCATTTACAATACAACCAACATTTTTATAAAATATTAATTGTGGATGGAGTTTTTATCCATCCATCCATTATCTATACCACCCATTTGTGACTAGGGCCGCAGTTGTGAGTGCGAGTGGTGGGAGCCTATCCCAGATGACACTGGGCAAGTGGCGGGGTACACTTTGGACAGGTCGCCAGTCTATGGCGGTTTCATGAGTTTGGCTGTGTATATACAGTGTTTTGCCATTATGACGATCCTCTCTCTGTTTGCCTCTGTAGGGCACATTTTTAGGTAGCTGTACAATATGTGTTTGACATTTCAAAGCTGGCACAGGCAGAGCATCTTGCTTTGGTTGGTGCTATATTATAATTACATTACAGTGATGTCCTAAATATATTATATTTTCACATTTCACATTTTAAAATTGTTATATTACATTGCTTTAAAAGTGCAGAGCACTTCATCAAAATCGGTCTCCAGGATCTTGTCCTGTAAAACCTTCAACCACAAGCATATTGTCGAGCACTATTATTAATGTAAGAGGACTATTACAGAAGATACAGTATGTCCTCTGTGATAGGTCATGTCAACTCATTTTTGTATTTAGATAAGTGTTTAACAGCCAAAAAGAGGAAATTAATATTTGCTTAAATATGTGTACATGTGTAACTTCAGTATCACACACAGAGTAGGAAGTATGAGTTTAACGTCCTTTGTTTTCACAGTCTATGTGTAACCTTGTCTTTTGCTATAATTATAATGGTTATAATTAGTTTTCTTAAATATTCTCATTTCCCCCCCTGCAACTACAAAGCTTTTTTATGCATTTACAACTTTTAATTTCTCAAACAGATGTGTTTCATAGGTTTACAAACAGTATATGGATCTACAGGCTTTAGAACATAATTTCTGAACATGATTTCAAGTATTACTGACTCTGATTTTAGCCCATATAAGTGTTATGAAAATGCGTCGGATTCAAACAATGCATTTTTTTCCACCACTTGATGCTTTTGAGTTATCTACAGCCATTTATTGATAAACTACATGGAATATGTCAGACATGAACTTGGACAAATCAAGAATTCGCTCTTAAAGAACTCAAAAAATACATGGAAAATGAACCCATTACTCAGCTCATATGCAGGCTCACACACACACACACACACACACACACACACACACACAATGACAAGGCAAAATGGAGAAACTTGATCATCATCAAATGACACATTTTAGGAGCAAATGGTTTTTGGTCAACGCCCTGATCACTAACATCCATTAGGCATGCATTAGGTTGTGCAGGGCAGATGAGAAGTCTTGGTGTGGTTGATCAATACAGATTAGTGTCCACAGTAAACTGGGTGAGGCAGTCAACACACTTCTGGAAAAGCCTTCAGTCCTACTTGGGGTGCTTACAATACAGACGGATTTCTCAAGATGAAGGTAAGAAAGACTAAATGTTTGAGGTGAAGAATTTATTTTGGAATATTTAATGTTATAACAGTGTGACAGGTTTGTAATGCATGCATGTCTGTATAAAGCCAGGAACGACTTATTATAAAGCCAGGAACGACTTATTACCTGGTGGAATCCAAAAGTTATTTGATGAAAGGGAAGGGGGATATAATTTAAGGGGTCAGTTGAATCTAAAAGTTCATGCTATACGTACAACCAAAAAAAGATTTTATATTTCTATAAGTGGGGTCAAATTATGGAATAATTTAAGTGTGGACATGAAGAACAGTACTAGAATTGAGGAGTTTAAATATAAATATAAATGTATGTGTCATTCAAGATATATGCAAGATTAAGAGATTTAATCAAGAATGCATGAAGGAAACACTCTGTTTTAAATTTTCTGTGTATTACTTGTTTGGTGAAGAAGAGAATTAACTATGTAGAGATACTGCTTGCAGCCAATGATGCATGAAATTTTTTGTATAAGATGATGTTATGGGGTAGGACTGGATAAGTCTGACTTCTTCCTACTCCATTCAAACATGTACTAGGTATAAGCAAACTGATTCTGGATTAGTATTGGTTGGATTTGTGTAAATTATGTGTGTGTGTTGATATCATTTGTTCTGCATGCTTGAAAGAATAAATCAAATCAAATCAAATCAAATAAACATATAGAAAAAAAAATCTATTACAACATACTCATGTGGGAGAAAAACATATGATTGTGTTTTGGGAACTGATTTAAAATATTTGTTGTAGGCCTCAAAGGAAAGCATGTCAGAACTGGAGACTGCCATGGTCACCATCATCCAAGTGTTTCACAAGTATTCGAGTCATAAGTGCAATCTGAAGAAAGCAGAGCTTAAAGCACTTATCAACCATGAGATGAATAATTTCATAATGGTAAGTTATGAAAGCGTTTTTAATGTTTATGGCACAACTTGTCAGAGTAACAGTTGCAATAACACATAAAACAACTTAAAAATGGGCTCTTAATAAATGTGTAATTTTTATGTGTACTTTGAGACAGTGTGCAACAATTAAAATGTGTTGTTGTATATTAATGATGGTAAAAAACAAACTGCGCTGGTAGTTTATATTCATGTGGCTGGTTCATCTATCAGCCGACTGTCAGTCCGACACTAATCTTCTGTACTATCATGACAGCCTTTTGGATGAATTCACCATTTGGTGCAGACATTCAATATTTAACTTTACACTAACCTAGCATGTAAACAAAATGTTATGTTTTCAAATGTGGCAATGTAGAAATTTCTGGCTCAACTTCACCCACTGACAAGGGAAAAACAAACTGGCAAGGCAAAGAGCCCAGCAACATTTACAATGTATAGAGCAACTTAAAGGTTAAGACCAGTGCATTTTAGCTTGTAGTTGGGATCTGTTTAAAGCATGTAACAAAGAGCCATTTAAGTAGTACAGATATGTATATAAAACTACCAATCACATACATAGACATGCATGTCAGCCAATAAAAGCACACACTCAGTGGATTGAGTATATGGTCATGTGGTTATAGGCCAATCACATTCTCAAATTGGTAAAGAGACAAAGGGAGTGTCTATTAATTGACACTGGTGACATCACATTTGGGCAGCACAGCGCTGTCGCCTCACAGCAAGAAAGTTCTAGGTTCGAGCCCGGGCCCTTCTGTGTGGAGTTTGCATGCTCTCCCTGTGCCTGCATAGGTTTTCTTCTGGTACTCCAGCTTCCTCCCACAGTCCAGAGTCATGCAGCTTAGGTTGACTGGCAACTTTAAATTGCCCCTAGGAGTGAGTGTGAGTGTGTGTAGTTGTTTGTCTATGTGTCAGCCCTGTGATAGACTAATGATCTGTCCAGGGTGACTCCACCTCTCACCCAGTGTCAGCTGGTATTGGCTCCAGCCCCCATGCGACCCAATTCATGAATAAGTGGTATTGCTTACATATGCATGAGAAAAATCATTGAAATGTTTAAAAACAGTTTTCCTCAAAGAAACATAGGAAGAGATTTGGATATGTCACCCTCTACAGTGCATAACATGATTAAAAGATTCAAGGAGTCTGAAGGGATTTCAGTGGGTAAAGGGCACAAGCCAAAGCTGAATGACTGTGCTCTCCGATCCCTCAGATGCCACTGCATCAAGAATCGTCATTCTTCTATAAGCGATATAACCACATGGGCTCAGGATTACTTTGGCAGTGTCAGGCACTACAATAGTTACATCCATAAATGCTGCTTAAAACTGTGCTGTGCCAAAAGGAAGCCCTATGTCAACAGTGTCCAGAGGCGCAGTCAACTGCTCTGTGCTCTGAGGCATCTGGGATGAACCATCACACAGTGGAAACATGTACTGTGATCAGACAAATCAATATTTCAGGTCTTTGTTGGAAGGAATGGACGCCATGTGCTCTGGACCAAAGACAAAAAGGACCATCCAATCTATTACCAGCAACAAGTCCAAAAGCCAGGGTCTATCATGGTCTGGGGTTGTGTCAGTGCCCTTGGTGAAGGTAACTTACACGTTTGTGATGGCTCCATTAATGCTGACAAATGCATAGAGATGCAGGAGCAACATATGCTGCCTTCAAGATACATCTTTTCCAAGGATGCCCAAGTATATTTCAGCAAGACAATACAAAACCTCATACTGCACATTACCAAGGCCTGGCTGTAGAGGAAAAGGATGCGAGTGCTGGACTGGCCTCCTTGCAGTCCTGACCCATCCCCAGTACAGAATGTGTGGCACACTGTGAAACAAAAATTGCTTCAATGACCAACCAAGCCTGATGCACGCCTTAAGACTTGTTTGCAGGAAGAATGGGACAAAATGAAGAATGGGACCCCTCCTTGAACCGCCACCTTATTGTGGTGGAGGGGTTTGAGTACCCGAGTGATCCTAGGAGCTATGTTGTCGGGGGCTATATGTCCCTGGTAGGGTCTCCCAAGGCAAACAGGTCCTGGGTGACAGGTCAGACTAAGAGCAGTTCAAAAGCCCTTTATGAATAGATTAAAATCAAGGACCGTGACGT